GTTGCAGTGGGCTCTAGCACTTAGATTATTAGAGATGAGTATTCCAAGGTTCTTTACAGAGCTTGGATCATCAACAAGATCTTGACTATTCAGCTTGTATTTTATTTTCGGATTTTTTTTGCCAATATGTAAGACAGAGCATTTATTTGTTGAGATTTGAAGTTGCTGTTTGTTTGCCATTTTTAATGTGTTTGATATTTCATCATTGGCATTATTTGTTTCTACAATTAAAAGAACATTTCAAGTTCCTATTAATGATAATTCTTGACATTTTTAATGCTTCATATCATTTATTAATGACAAATTATATTACTCATTTAAGGAAGGGGACTGAAAAAGTCAGAAAGCTTTTTATGTAGAAAGAAAAGAATGATGTGTTCATATATTAGCCGAAGGAACAATGTGGTCTGTTTGGTTTTGCTTAATCATTTATGTGAATCTAGCTATTGTGTTTGCTTACTTATATTTTATAATTTATAATTTACTGGTTTATTTTGTTCAACAAATCATGTCTTCATGTGCTCATAGGTATGTTCATACGATGAGCTGTGAGAAGAATTTGAGAAACAGGAAGAAGAGCTGCAGGCTAGACAGCAGTCAGGCAAAATATATCTTGGTCCACAGAAGAAATGGAGTATGGGAATGTCTCAGAAGAGACCCTCCCTAGTTCTCTGGAAAGCACAGGTGGGCAGGAAGACTTTCAGACTTGCAAAATTCTGCTACTATAACCTTCCATAAAGATAGTTTTAGTGCTAATGGTTTTAGCTTCTTGTCTGGACCACCTCAAAGGGCTGGCGGTTCATGAAGTCACCCGGAGTTAAGCTGAACTCAACAAACATATTTTTGTTACCAAACCCAAAGGTTCTGGACCAGTGGTGGGATTCAAACATTTTTACTACCGGTTCTGTGGGCAAGACTTGGAGGGTGTGGCAGGGGAAGGTATCTCCATTCCCTCCCCAGCCCTCTAACCTGCTTTCCAGCTCCATTCTCCTGTGCAGGGCAACAAAAGAAGACCCAGCCAATCAGCATCCCAATCAGGAGGCAGAGAATAGGTGGGGGCGGGGCCACTCAGAGTTGGTATTCCAGACTACTCCAAATTTCTGCTACCGGTTCCCCTGAACTGGTCAGAACCTGCTGAATTCCACCTCTGTTCTGGACAGGTGATTGCCGCTATTCATTTGCACACTTTCCTGAACTATTGGAGAAGAAAGTTATGTACCTCTTGAAAGGTTTTCCCCCCCTCCAATGAAGAAATTCTTTCATAGGGAGCACTAGGTTCAATCATCGTGTTTCCCAACAGAGAAAACTGCTTTAAATTCAAAGCATATAGTCATACATTCTCCATAAAATAACTAATGTGTTCAAAGGAAGATCATTTTCATTTTTATTGGAAATAAAAATCTGAACTTGACATGTCAACACAAACTAACACTTAATTATTTGTTTCATTTGTTTCTGAAAACAAGCTGGTACTGAGTCCAGGACATATGTTTTGCATTTGTTTTTTGACAAGTAAGTTAGCAATTTGTTAACTATAAGAATGAGAATTTCATGTTTTACAAATTCATGACGTTTTCCTGTAAGAGGGGTTTTGGTTTATGTAAAGCATATGAGCTATTTTTCTGTACAAATCCCAAATGACATATAAAATGGTGTATATTTTAATTCATATTTCTCCATGTTGCCTTAAGTTCAAGTTTTGCCAGCAATTTTCCTAAATACACCAAATGGAAATAAGAGAAACAAACACTTTAAACACCATTATTAGATTCAAAGCAATCCAAATGTAATTAAACCCACTTCAAAAACCTCTAAGAACTGGCCCTTTAAAAGTGGCAGAATATTAGAAAGAGACGTTTCTTGGAGAATGTATTTGGAAATGCCACATATGAAGAGAATCTTTCTGACTTTGCTCTCTACTACCCCCAATAGCCATGAATGAGTAAAATAACAAATAACACAAGGCAGTGAACACTTTCCTCTTCCTATTTTCCCCACAACAACAACTCTGTGAGGTGAGTTGGGAGGAAAGAAAGCAACTGGCCCAAAGTCGCCCAGCTGGTTTTCATGGCTAAATCAGGATTAGAACTCACAGTCTCAGGCTTTTCTGGCGTGGTAGTTAGCTACTAATCAAAGTAGCTCAAAAACTGTGGAACATGCAGTCTTCAAAGATGCCTAGCCTTTTCATTCTTGGTATTCCTAAAAAAATAATAATAATGAAGATACTTCTTTTTAAACAGGCAAGTGAGGCTTAATATCAATGTGACTAGATTATCCTTTTTGACTGTCTTTACAGGGGAGGTCAATTGGGTTGAATTTAGATAGCATCAACTTCACATTGATAACTTAGATTTATTTGAACAGGAAATATAGACACTTGTAAACCAACCTACCAAAAAGTAATAATCATGCCACTCCTGAGTTAGTGAGGTTCTGCATTCATTGTCAGCCTTATGGAGTTGTGTGGGAAAATACTTTTTTAGTATTTCCTCTCCTTATGACCACAATTTAGCCCAAAATTTCTGTTGCTCATTGAGACAACTAAGTGCATTTTGTCCAATTTTATGACCTTTCTGGCACAGTTAAGTGAATCACTGTAGTTGTTAAATTACTAACATAATTAAGGACAGGGGTGGGATCTGACAGGGTTAACTACCGGTTCGGTGATTTACAATGTGCTTCCCTGCACGCTGCACGAGTGTGTAAATCTTCATCAGCTTGCTGCCTGGACAGCTGAGCAGCGCTGCGTGCAGGAAAGCAGCATTTGAAAAAGCACTTTTTTCCTGCTTTTTCAACCGCAGCTGTGTCTCGCACGGCAGCTGAGGTTGAAAAAGCAGGAAATAAAGGTCAGGTAAGAGCCTGGGCAGGCGGGCCGGCCAAACAGCAGCAGACATAGAACTGGTTCTATGTCTGCTGCTCTTCAGAGTTACCGGTTCTACAGAGTCGGACAGAACCGGTAGAATCCCACCCCTGGTTAAGGGAATCTAGATTCCCCACTGACTTGATTTGTCGCAAGGTTGCAAAAGGTAATCACAAAGGGGGCTGCAACCGTCATAAATATGAGTCAGTTGCCTCTGAATTTTGATCATGTGACCTTGGGAATGCTGCAATGGTTGTATGAAAAATGCTCACTTTTTTTTAGTTATAACTTCAAACAGTCACTAAAGGATATGTTGTAAGTTGAGGACTACCTGTATACAGTTGAGGCTCAGGTTTACATCAAAGGAGTTCAGCTGTGTTTCAAAGAAAATAGAGTTATCTTTAAATAGTGGATTGAGAGTTGGTTGACCCACTTGGAAGTCAGAAAGTAGCAATAATAACCTGCTTTATCATGATTCAGTTTAGCTTCTCAGGAGGAATGGTTGGCAGCCTTCCACACAGCTGTTTCAGACTTTGTGGCTCCTCTTCAATATGAAAATACATTTGTTGTCCTGGGACTTGTGTTCAGAGAGTTAACCAATTATTAACTGGTTCTGAATGTTAATAAAACAAAGGAGATCATTGCTGATTTTAGAAAGAGCCAGCATAGTCATTCTCCACTTGGCCTCAAGGCTGCAGCTGTGGAGATGGTCAGTAGCATTAAGTATGTGGGGGGTGTAGATAACTAACAATCCAACTTGGTCTCTTAATAGGTTATCTTTAATGAAGTGTCCAAACCAGCTTTTGCGTTTCCTACATTGGATGAGAGCACAGCTTTCTCCTTCTGTCCTGGCCACTTTTTACAGAGACACGATTGAGAGCGTTTTAACAACCTGCATCACTCTTTGATTTGGTGGCAGCAGTGCCTCAGATAGAAAGTCCATAGAGAGAGTGGTAAGGACAGCTGAGAAGATTATAGGAAGCTCGCTTCCCGTTATTCAGGATACTGCTTATAAGTGCTATGTGCTTAGAGCTCAAAGCATTGTCAGAGACCCCACACACCCACTTTATGGTCTGTTTCTGTTGCTCCCCCCGGGAGGAGGTTTCAAAATATCTACAGCAGGACTACTAGATTCTGTAACAGTTTTGTTCCTTTTGCCATCCATCTTGTAAATTCACAGGATTCTTTTTCCCCCCACCATGCTGATGTATACATTCAAACTAGACTGTTATGTTTCTCTGTGTCATAAAAGTGTGTGTGTGTGTGTGTGTGTGTGTGTGTGTGTGTGTGTGTGTTTGTGTGTGTTATATGCATAATGGTTATCTGTTGAGAGCCGAATTCAACGAAATTTCATTTTAATGTATGCTGATTAATGGATGATTATATACAAATGATTATTGTCACTTAAAATAACAGTAAAGTTTCTGTTTCTATTCGATTCCATTCCCTTCCCCAGGAACTGCAGGGAACTCTGCTTGTTCAGCCTCTCTGGCCTCTGCTGTAAAAGGCAGAGAAGATGCAGGAAGAGGATTGCAGTTCAGAGACCATCTGCTTATCTCAGGTGGACCTTTGGATGGATACCAGGGCCAAACTCGAGCTAAAGAGCAAGTTGCCCTTGAGAACTCATTTGAATTCCACAATTGTTCCCTCATTTCTTTGCAAGAAATCCCCAAAGCCTTGCACCTTTTTCAGACCCTGAAGCCCTAATTGAGATTAATGTATATTTAAAAGTCTATAAACAATAAATGCTGCATACCCATCTATCACCTTATTTAAAAAGTGAGATATCTGAGTGAGACCACACCTCTGAGGGACCCTGCTTGATTTCCTACTTCCTTGCTCCTCACCCTCTCACCCTTTGCCAGACAAAGCTCTCCTGCTCATCTAGCACCAATTTTCCCCCTGCTAGGAATGTTATTTCCAGAATCCCTGGCTCAGATGGCTTACCCACCACCCACTTTGCAAAGTTAGAGGAAGGCTGCAAATTCCCTTTTTCTCTGGCAACATTTGCTTCCTCTTTCATCCAGAGAACTGACGGTGGCAGATTTTTTTACTGTTATGTCATCATTTCTCAGATATGATCTGTGGATTTTATTTCCAGCAAATCTCCACCCTCTCCACAACCAATCTATATAAACACGAGAAATTCTGCCTCTCAGCATGGAACTAAGGAGGTGCACAAGCTACCCCAACTACTATTGCTTATCTCATTTGATCCAAGAGCAAAGATGAACAGCTCCCTGGCTACCCTCGCCGTCTTCCTGGTTGCTGCTATGTTCCTATCCCAAGCTCAGGCTCAGTTCGGTAAGACTGATTTTTCTTTTTTTTCAGCATCCCACCTGCATTCTGAGGGTGGTTAGGTGGCTCATGGTTAAAATGCTGGACTTGCCGGCTGAAAAGCCAGTAGCTTAGGTTCGAGACCTGAGCACCAAGTGATGGGTTGAGCTCCCACCCTTGCTGCAGCTGTTGCCAACCTACTGGTTTGAGAGCATGCAAATGCTAGTAAATAAATAGGTATCACTTTGGTGGGAAGGTAATAGCACTCTTTGATGTCATGTTGGCCACATGACTGCGGAAATGTCTTCAGACAGTGCTAGCTCAATAGCTTTGAAATGGAGATGAGTACCACCCCTATAGTTGGCAATGACTAGCAGAGTAAAATCCTCAGGGGCTCCTTTACCTTTTACCTACATGCATAGTTATAACCCTTGCCATCTTGGAATGGGTTCTAGGTTTTGTCCAACCATCTCTCCTGAAAGTGCTGGTCATGCAACAAACAACAAGGATAGTTAGGGACAGCAAATGCTGCTCAGAGTGTAAGTACAACCCCATTTGAAAAGGGAAGCTCTGTAGAAGAATTAAACCATTTGTTTGAGCTGAATTCTAGATGAGAAGGAGAGCTCAGCACCCTATCCCATCCTTCAGAAGATGTATGTGGAGAGAATGAACTCTTCCTTTCAGATTTCAAAAGAGGATAGGGTGGATGGATATATATAACATTTGTCCTTTTTACTCTGAAATGTTTTTATAATCATCATAAGCCATTTATTTCAAGGATTTGGGGGGAATACAGTATCAGTTGTATTAATGCATGCAGAAAAATTATTTTCCATATTGAACATTGTCTATTGAGTGGACAAAAGGAAAGTGGATTCCCTATGTAACAGAAATTCTTCTCCAAAATAAGCTTATTTTCCTCTAGTGCCAGGTAGAATTTTTAGGAGTTAGTGTTTTGGGGCTCACATAGTCACTATTTAGCTGCAATAGATACATACTAGTAAGAATCCATTCTATTGCGAAGGAAGGAAAGAAAGAAGGGATTCTGCCTGAGTGAGACAATTCTTGCATTCTTAATTTCTGCACAAATTATTGTTGAATTTGCCTCTGAAATTTTCACAGCTAGAAGTAAAATACAAATCTCCACTTCTAGTTCTGCATCAAAGCACATTGTTTAAAAGACTTTGGGCCAGTCATTCTGCCACAGTTCAATCTATCTCTAGGGCTGTTTTTGTGGACAATATAAGAGGATGAAGCATTAGCTATGTATGCTACCTTGAGTTGTACAAAATAAGGTTGGATATAAATCTAATAAAAATAATATGCTCCATGGTAAGGTCAGTCCAGGGAAAGTCTGCCCATATTATATGAGGGGAATGGTAAATATTCTAAACTAGTAAGTAAGAAATTCAGGTTCAAGACTCAATGATTGGGGAAGGGAAACCATTAAAATAACACAACTCTCTTTTCCTGTCTTTCAGATCCCAAGCGCTGTTGTTTTGACTACGTAAAGAAGCCTATTCCACAAAGGAACTTGAGGTCCTTTGAACGCACAAATGCCAGGTGTTCCATGCAAGCTGTCGTGTAAGTACTAAAACAAAATCTATCAACTCCTAAGTGATTCCTGAATATGTTAAATGCGATGTTGGCTGCCCTTGAAACGTCTAGTATCTTTTGTGTGACCTTTATGGAAAAGTGCACCAGCCATAATCATTTCCCTATATTGACTTTATGTGAAATTAATTTAAATGTAAAATTAGTTGCAGTCCTCATGGATAGGCATTCCTACCCAACATATCACAATGAGGCCAGAGAGTCAGAAAAAAAAATCTATTCATTTTTTGCAATAAACATTAATAAAGAGGTTGGGGTTTCAATTGCAAGGCCCTTGGCTGCTATGTTGATTTATTTGTCACCCCCCCCCCCCCCCCGCAGATATTCTTATACCAAAATCTAAAGTTATTTCCCTCTTGAAAGGGCCTGTGTGCAGGTTTAATTCAATACTTCGATTCACAATTTTCAGACAAATCAGTCCTTTAGCATAAATTATTGAAAGATTTCGTGGACATCTGTCCATGAACCCCCTTTCATGAAACCAGTTTGGGAATAGGAGTCTCTTGAGGGTGACTGATGGGAGAGGCTCTGCCCCCTTGAAAGCTAAGTGTGGTGCCAATTGTAGAGAATTGCTTTCTTTCCAGCTTGTGATTAAAATATGCATGTATATCTTTCCTCTGCAGATTTATCACACATGTGAATCGGCAGATGTGTGCAGATCCCAATGCACAATGGGTCCAGGATCGTATAAAATATTTGTCCCAAAACTGACAACGTCCCACCTCCTTCATATTACCTGGAGAAGCCCCAAGAAGTCAAAGCTTTTAAAATGCTTCGGATGTGGGAAAAAAGAACATGCGTGACTCTTATTCTGACCTTGCACACTCCTAACTTAAACTTCATTGATGGAAGATGAAATAATATATATGTAATAATGTTCATGTAATGTATTTAAATTATGGGCAAATATGTATTTTATATTATTATTTGAAAAATATTTGACGGAAACATAATGTATGAATAAATCTCAGGGTTGCGAAATCCATACATGCCTCTGCTTGTCTATATCTGACATCTTTTCCGAGATCTCCTTCAGGTTACACAACAATTCTTAGTTCATTGAAAGATTGATTAGGACTGTCTGGGTTCTGGCTCTTCTCCTTCCCTGAGAGAGGGGATCCATCTGCTTCTGCACCATCATTCATAACATCCCTCCTTTTCAGACTTGAAAGATTGATGCCAAGACTAGACAGGAAACACAGTGAGATGAACTGATTTTACTTTATTGTAAAGTTCCATTAACAAAATCTTAAAAATCTGAACGTATCTTTCTCTCCCATCCCCTTATACCGTCTAAGGAACTAGGGATGGTCCGTCCCGAGTCTCCTGTCCTACTCACATTCCTGCTGCAGGCTAAATTGCCTGTTATCTGCCTCTGTCTGCCCTGACTCCCAAGGTCATTCCCACAAAGGCCATTATACCCTCCGTTGACGGTGCTGCTGGTGCACGGGAACTTATGAGACAGGGAAGTAGCAGCATGCAAAGTGGAGATACTCTGTATTCAGAGTAAAGCTTTCAAAAATAACGTGGAAGTAGGAGTGAAAGCTATTTTTTTAAAGTTTTTATTTGTTTTTAAAAACAAACATAAACAAACAAAACATAAAAACATCAAGCCATTTTCCATATGTATACATAAAGTGTGCTGATTGGTTTACAAATTGTTTTGTGCTTCCATTTCGTAGTCTTCAATTTCAATTACATTGCATATAATCTCACATTTTCAACCAAAATTAAATACCTTAGTATCATTATTAATCAATTATTTGACTATACTTTTATTCATTCATGTTTTACAAGATAATCATAATTTACTTAGCTTGTTTTATAATAGTTCGTGTTATCATCCCAAATCTTTCTAATATTGTCTTTTAATCTTCTCCCAGTTAACCACAGAGACTCCCATATATAATGTCTTCTAAAATACCCCTGTGTTCCTTTATACCATAAAAAAGCATGCCACCCCAACAACAGGTCATGTCCTTCTAATGTCAACAATCTAGTATTTCTTAGTGTTATCCATTCCTTAACCCACATCAGATTTGTAGCTTGATAATATAACCCCCAATTAGGCAAACCAAATCCTCCTCTAATTCTAGCATCTTGCAAGAGTTTTAACTTTATTCTCGCTTTCTTACCTTGCCATATATATTTCAACACAATTTTATTTAAATCTTCAAAGTAATCTTTTCCAAGCCTATTTGGAATTGTTTGAAACAAATATAAAATTCTGGGTAATATATTCATCTTGATTGTTGAAATTCTCCCTATTAGTGACAGTTGTAAATTTTCCCATTTCGCCAGATCTAGCGCTATCTGCTGTTTAAGTTTGATATAATTATTCTCTTTTAGTTTACTACATCTTGCTGTCAAATATATCCCCAAGTACTTGATCTTATTTGTGACCTGAATTTTCAATAGGTCTGCCAGTTCTTCCTTTTGTCTTAATAGCATATACTTTCTCAAGATCTCTGTCTTATCTTTATTTATTTTCAAACCAGCTACCTTTCCATATCTTTTCTATCAATTTTGGTGCTGTTTCTAGAGGGTCTTCTAAGATGAAAATCAGATCATCTGCAAATGCTTGCAGCTTAAATTCTTCCTTTTTGATTTTCAAAATCAAAGTGAAAGCTATTGAAACCATCCATTGGGGATATTTCTTTTGTCTGTTCGTTATAATCACATTAAGACGTGGCTCCATTCTAAAATGGCTTCACTCTTGTTGGTTTTCTCTTCATTTCCAGCACTCTTATTCTTAAAAAACCCCACCTTATTCTGCTGTTTATGTGGTTGTACGCAGTAAGGATTGTGATGTGAGCAGGATGCTGCTTTAACATTGAAGACTTGCAGGTTTTCTCTGTCTGCAAGGAAGAGATAAGGAAAGGGGGAATGGTTGTTTACAAGTAATCAAGAGCTTACTTATCACAAACAGCATCTTAGTCCAGGTGACAAGAAACCTGGGAAAGGGTGTTTAAAGTTATTTAAAGTGACTGTACCTTAATTAACTCAGTATAAATGATAATAGGTCATTCCAAGATTTAGCATGTAGCCAAGGCCAGCATTAAAGACACTTTGATGAAATCTATAGTTGATCTTGCACAGCTGCTTGGGGCTTGGCTGTCTTCCTGCACTATTAACACAAGTATCAACCATGTGGCATTGTAACTAATACAGGTGGGAGTTTCTGCAGATCTGGGATTTCCAACATGAAAGCATGTGGTTATTACCACCCCTGCTTCATGGATAGGAACTCTTTTCTTTTAAAATATGCCACTTAATCTGTGCATAACACTGTAATTTAAACATCATTGGACTGATCTGTGCAGATGTGAAACAGCTTGTGTGAACCTGAGGTCAGGTTCTGTTTTTATAATGCTTAAATCTGCCTGTGTTATTCTGTAGACTAGGCTCACATTACTATAATTACTAGGATATTTTGAAACAGATCCTTTAACGATACTGTTATGGATATTTTATGGGGCATTTGCTATTGACTTTTGGTTAACAGTCCACAATTCTCTCTTTCCTTCTTTTTCATTTTAACACATAATTTTTATTAAAACTTTTAAACAAAAAATAGAAGTAAATTAATAGAAAGTAACAGAGAAAAAGAAATCAAAGAAAAAACAAAAAGGGCAATAAAAAGAAAACTTAAAGATAGAAAAAGTCATAAGCACAGATATATTTTAACCTCTCTGTAAATTTACATCATTTTACAAAACTCTTCCTTTCCTGGACTGAGGAAAGGACAGGCCCAAAGTGACCCATTCTCAGGGAAGCAAGAAACTAGGCCTTTCTAGTCCAGCATTGACGATTACATAGACTGCTGTCATTCCAAGTGTACGTAGAAAAACACAGTGTCACACTTATCATTTCCCTCAAAGGACACTTGTTCTTACAAACCTATTTGGGCATGCTTGTGTTAAGATAACCTTTATTGACACTTTTCTGTGTAAACACTGGCACACATTGAAATTCTGATGCCCGCTCTCAAAAGTGGTGTGCGTGTGTGTGTGTGACTGTGTGTGTACCGGTATACATACATATACATAATTGCAGTCTATTTTGAATACATAGAAGAGTTTAGAAATTATTAAATTTGTATTTAAATTAAATAAATAAGAGTCTGGGAAATATTAAGCAAGGTTAAAGTAATCAGTATTTGCTTCACCTTTTCTTTTTTTAAAGAACACTAAGGGGAATTCCTCTATTGAATTTCATTCTCTTGTTTCCTCTCTGCATGACTCTAAAAAACCACTAGTCTTGCCACATGCTACTCAGATGAGCCTCCCTATACAAAATAAATAAAAAACCATGAGTCAAATGAGGTTATGGACACAGCAGGAGAAAATATGCACAAAATACTTTTATTAAGGAGAGGCAGACAGCCAGCACATCATCTAGCACCTCATTATGACATCCAAATGACTAGCAGCAATCTTTGGAGTGGAAATTGATGATCCTGTTCTCACCCCATTGAAAACAAAATGATTATGTCATGCTGACTTTTAGCAATCGCATTGCTAGATCTTCTTCAGCACAATTTGCCCCAATATGGTTCTTCAGGATTCCCAATGATGCAGCTAACAATGGACTTGGAGGTTTCCTAGATTTAAAAACTTGGAATACTGCTTCCAGGGCAAAAGTGTTAGATTGAAAACTACTGTCAGGCCCTTGAGTAGTTGTACTGGTCAGTTAACAGATAACAGATAATCAGAGTTGGAAGCGACCTTGAGAGTCATCTAGTCCAACCCCCCACCCAAGCAGGAGACCCTACACCATTTCTGACAGATGGCAGTCCAATCTCTTCTTCAAAGTCTCAAGTGATGGCGTTATAGACTTCTTAAATGGATCCTTCTCCTCTTTTAATTTGATGCACAAACACAGTGCTACAGGTAATCCTCAAGTTACAACCATTCATTTAATGACCACTGTTCAAGGCCACAATGCCACTGAAAAAAGTGACTTAAAACCAGTTCTCACGAACTATTGCAGCATCCCCATGGTCACACGATCAAAATTCAAGCACTTGTCAAATATGAGTGCATGGGATTAACATTTACAAACTTCCCAAGTGGCTTCCGACAAGCAATGCTAATGGGGGGGGGAACTGGATTTGCTTAATGACCATGTGATTTGCTTAACAAATATAGCAAAAAGGTCACAAAATGGTATGTCTCACTTAATCATTGCATTGCTTAGTGATACCCATTCCGATCCCAAATGTGGTTGTAAGTTCACAACTGGATGCATATGCATTGGAGAGGCAGTTTGGTGTGAATTCTAGTCCTGCTCCAAGTACAAAGCCATCTGCGTCACCCAAGGCTTGCTCTCAGCACTGGGAAGTAAGCAATGACAAATCACTTCCAAACTCAAATACAACAAACATCTTTCCTGAAGATATCATTGAAATAACCAGAGATGGCCATGGGTACAAACACAATGATGGCTCTGTGGCCCCAAAATTTTGTAGAGTTGTATGCAAAAATGAGTCCAGCAAACGCATATTCATTCATACAATAAATGCCATTGCAAAAAGCAATCCCAACCACAAAAAACTTCACTCAAGACCAGACTTATCCATACTGCAAAGAATCCACTCCTGTGAACTCTGCGCAGAACTCAAAAACTGTCTAGACAATGGAGAAAAGGACCTATACATTGACTACAGAGCTGATTGCATTAAAAGAAAGTCACATAACCCACAGCTCCGCATCCAACCCCACCCCATCCAATCCAACATCACTCAAAACTAGGCATGCACACCCCTAACTACCTCTATTCCAACCACAACTGGCCTTAAATTCAAGCTACTCAATGCAAGAAGCCTTGTAAATAAAATACCTGAGTTTCTCCTCTTACTAAATACGGCTAAATTCTACATTATATTTGTCTGTGAAACATGGCTCATCTGTGAACTATCCTT